ATTATAATTAAATGAAGTAAGGTTTTGAGATGGAGGTGATTCTAGAGAATGTTGTAAAGGTAGAAGATGTCAAGGGTGACTTTGAATTCCGTATATATATCTGTATATGTATTTATATTGTTGTATATTTACTCCGGCTTGTCTGACTTGTATTAATTAAATTAATTGTTCATGAATTTACTGTACTATTTATGTGTCGATTGTATCCCGAATGAATAAATTCTTATTATAATTCTACTTTTATTTTATATTTCACCGTACGCCCCTATCCAAATTAAGCCTTGATATTGCTTATTTTATGTTACACTATACTTGCTCCATCATTTGTAGATTTTCTATAAAATACCCCATCCCATCCCCTTTTTTCAGAAAAAAAAAAAAAAAAAAATTATTGATTTTTGGGTTCCGAGGTACAAGCTAAATCTTTGTACAGTCTAAGCAAAAAAAAAAAAAAAAAAAAAAAAAAAACATAAATACGACCGAATTCCCTCAAAACACCCTTAAAAAAATTTTTTTTTATCTTTGAGTTCATTCCCCTTCTCCTATATATAGTGTAAATTTTATTTTTATTTTTTTTCATGACTCAGGAGCGCGTAAACAACAATAGTAACTATGCGTTCGTGTTAGAGGATCCTTCTAAACCGAGAAAATATCAACTCAATTTTAACCTTGGCTCCGAATACGTAAAAGATTCAAAGCACATACCGGTTACAGCGATGGATCATCACCACAATTCTCTTCAGCAGCATCAACATAATTTACGTCATGCTGATCTACCGAATCGTCAACCTGCTTCTTCGATCACCCTTCCTTCTATAAGAGAATTGATAACACTTCCTCCTTTATCTTCTTCGCTAAATCAACAATCACATCCTCATATTCAACAAGATTCTATACCATTGAATTCGAGGCCGCATCTTCCTCCTTTACAACATTCTCTAGAATCACCTCCATCTCAAAACCTTACTTCATTTAATTATAATCATAATACTTCCAATTCAGTAAATTCTATAAACTCTATAAATGATCGTATGAATGATAATCGTGCTCCATTTTCTTCGTCAGATGTTGGTCATTACCATCCTCATCATGGTTATCCAACTAATAATGGTAGTAATGGTAGTAATAGTGGTAATGGTGGTAATGGTGGTAATGGTAATAATCATTACTATCAACATCCACCTCCCGTCTCTCATCATCACGTGTCACAACAGCCACCTCATCCTCAGGTGCCTCAGGTGTCTCAAGCATCCCAGATAACTCAACAACAGCAACCTCCTTTACCGCAGGTAGCGCATTCTCATCAATCATATCAACCACAACAACCGTCATTGTCGCATCTACATCAGCCGTTGCCGCAGAACTCTCATCACGTGCATCATCAGCAACATTCTCATTTACATCATCATCAATCTAATGTATATAATAATGATTTGGTCTCTGAAAGAAGTCAACATGACCATCATCAATCTTCGAGTCCAGTTGCCTACAATAATTCTCTCAATCGTCAATCGTATTATTCTCCAATTTATTCTAATGATAATGGTTCTTCTCAACAAATGATCGCTTCTCAACCTTCAAATATGGTTCCTCCTCACGATCATCAGATTTCTGGCATTAGAAATATTCAAATGGCTGATCATCCTGTAGCCCAACCGTTGCAACAACAACCTCTACCGCAGCAGCATGTACCTACTTCTGCTCCTCATAATCCACATAATCCTCATAATCCACATAATCCTCATAATCCTCATAATCCACATAATCCTCATAATGTGGATAGACGTTATCCTTCTGATTCTATTGTTCATGAACAACATCCTCTTCATCCTTCTCAACATCCTTCTCAACATCCTTCTCAACATCCGTCTCAACATCCTCAATATTCTCAACATCCTCAACATCCTCAACATCCTCAACATTCTCAACACCCTCAACATCTTTCTCAACATCTTTCTCAACATCCCTCTCAACAGGTGCAACAAATGTCTCAATCCTACAAAAAAGCTCAGCCAGTTCCTTTAACTGATCACCAAACTTTATCTCAAGTTCCGTTATCTTCTCCTAAGGTGTCCCATTTGCAACCTTCACAACAGCAACCAATTATGCAATATCCTTATGAAAATCGGGAAACTTCACCATCTTATTTGGCACCTCCGCATCAGCATCATTCCGGAAGTAATTCTTCCGTATCAACTCGGTCTTCTTCTCCTACTCCGAGTACTCCGGTTGCTTCTTCCACAATCCCATACTCTGCTCATAATAGTCCAATTAGTAACTTGTCTCAACTTGTTGAAAAATCTATCGACCAAGGTGTTCCACCTAAAAAGCGCGGCCGTTCTCAAAAGCCAAGACCTATCGCTCCTCTTGGTCCTTTACCTAATCAACAACCGGTAACAACCTCTACTCAATCTCAATCTAGTGTTACTCACGATGCCCATGTATTCGTACAGTATGTTCCAACTACCAATCCTGTTTCGGATACTGGTTCTCAACTTGCCACTACAAAGTCAACGACCCGTCCTCGAAAAGATAGTATAGTTGGTGGTGTGGTTTCTTCTTCACCAAAACGGAATAGAAAACCTAAGGACGCTGCAATACCAAAAATTTTCGTAGATATGAATGAAGAAGAGAAAAAGATTAATCGTTCTTCAGAAATTCCTTCAGAAATTCCTTCAGAAATTCCTTCTGAAATTTCTTCAGAAATTCCTTCAGAAATTCCTTCTGAAGATTTTTCTTCAACTGACATTATAACAAATCAAAATCTTAAACGTGATTATTCTTGCCTTCCTGAATCTCAAGTTGTTGATTCTGATAATAAGAGATATAAACTATCACAAGAACTTAATGACGGGTCAGCTATGATGAATGATGTTATTGAAACTAAGGATGAAAGTATTGAGACTGCATTAATTTTAAATTCTTTGAAAAATAATAACAATGTTTGTGAAAAATCAATTCCTCTCGTTTCTAATACCTCATTGGTTGTTGCTAATGTCGATGTAACAAATACGAATATCGTCGATAAGAATGTTGTCAATATGAATGTCCTTGATACAAATGTGGTTAATTCGAATGTCGATAAGAATGTCGATAGGAATGTCAATAAGAATGTCGATAGGAATGTCAATAAGAATGTCGATAGGAATGTCGATAGGAATGTCAATAAGAATGTCGATAGGAATGTCAATAAGAATGTCGATAGGAATGTCAATAAGAATGTCAATAAGAATGTCAATAAGAATATCGATGTTAATGTCGATACTAATGCTGATACTGATGTCGATATGAATGTCGATACCAATGTTGCTATGGATGTTGTTGCTACGAATGTTGTCACTATGGATGTTGTTACTACAGATGTTGTTGCAAATGAATCTATGGATGAACATGTTGCTACAAAAGTTAAAGAATTATCAATTCATGAGGAGAAACATGTTAAAGAAGAGAATGATAATGACCCTCCGGTGAAATCTACCTGTATTTCTCGTAGTAGTTCTTTTAACTCTTCTAAACGACATCAATCTCCTATTAAAAAGTCATCTATGAACATTGATAAAATGATTTGTGAGGATAATAGTGCTGGTAGTCGTGTTATTAAAAACATTGTACATATTAAGCAAGAACGTATTTCAATAGACAATGCGGGCAATGATTCTGATAATGATCTGGCAATGGATGATGATTCGGATGATGAAGAGTTATCTAAACGAAAGCAACCTACACATGATAATGATATTCAATGGAATAGTGATGATATGGAAACAGAGGAAGAAGTTGAAGAAGAAGTTGAAATTCCTTCAATAGGCGGTAAAGATGATCATAAACCATTGGTTTATTCATCTCCTCCTTCATTGGCTTCACCTTTGCTTGATACTAACCGTGTTAAGGTCGAAGATGCTGTTAATTGTGTTAAGGTCGAAGATGCTGTTAATCGTGTTAAGGTTGAAGATACTGTTAATCGTGTTAAGGTCGAAGATACTGTTAATCGTGTTAAGGTCGAAGATGTTGGTAATCGTGTTAAGGTTGAAGATGTTGTTAGTCGGTCAAAGGTAGAAGATGTCAAGGACATTTCTATGACAGCAGGAAATTTGGCCTCAGTTACACCCACTACTACTACTACTACTACCACCACCACCACAAAACCTTCCCATCCAGCATCTCCTAATACAAATTCAAATTATAATGGTACTATATCACGAAAAGCTTCAACATCTAGTTCGATATCTCGCAAAGGATCAACATCTAGCAATGGTAGTAATAAAGACATTAATGGAGGTTCATCAAATACATCATGCTCAGATGTTTCAGATGCTATATCAACATCATCAGCATCACCTACAAACGTTAATAGTAATGGTAAACCTCAAAGACCTTATCCTACTAGACGTAGATCGACAATGAGAGATGATGAAAAATTAGAATTGGATGCAATAGAATGGGAGAAAAATATAGAAATTCCACATCATATTTGGGATGAAACATTACGGGTGTTTGAAATTGTAAAACATTCTAAAGAAATGAAGAATAGGCAACCTCATCGAAAAAGAAATCATATACTTGCATCGATTCTTTTTATCCTTTGCAGGCAAAATGGACTTCCTCGTACATTTGTAGAAATATGTAATGCAGCATCTATTAGAAAGCAAGAGATTGGAACCTATTATCGTCTCATGCTTAAAGTATTTGAGAGTAATGGATTAGGTGGTGGATCTAATGGTACGGTTGATTCTGCTGAATATTTGGTAATTATTTATTTTATTTTATTTAGTGTTTATGATTTTATTATCTTGCTCGTTATTTGTTAATTTCTAACAAGTAATTTATTTTATTTTATTTATTTATTTATAGAAACGATGGTGTCAGAACCTTAAACTTCCATCGCATATACTTGATGCGGCCATTCATGTATACAGACAAGCAAGTGAATTGAATATCACAACAGGAAAATGCCCAGTTTCAGTTGGAGCAGCTTCAATATGGTTATCAATTGCATCGTGGAACGAGATTCGTTTACAAAATTGGAGCAACGGCGATGATCATGAACAAATAAAGTGTGAACATAAGGATGTTGCGCAAGTTGCTGGAGTAGTTAATGCAACACTTGTTGGTTGTTACAAGAACTTATTAAAATTCAAGGATGAACTATTACCGCCAGAATTTTTAAGAGAAGCAAAAACTAGGCCTCCAGATCTTCATAAAAAAAGCGTTATTGAGACTAATACTGGTAATAATGTAGAGGATGAAAATATTGACGACAAGAAAATTACGCATAGTCCTTTATTAGATAATAATATAATTGGTAGTCCACCTCCTATAGATTATAAAGAAGCAGGTTTGTTATTATTTATTTATTTATTTATTATATATAATAAAATTATATTATAATGATACTGACAATTTTTCTAAATTAACAGAAGAAACAATAATATCGTCGAAAACGGTAAAAGAAGAACAAACACCAATATCGACTATAAAATCAGAATCAATTTCACCAGATTTATCAGATTTAGTAACAAAAGTGAAAACAGAATTTAAAGACGATGAAAAAGCATCGTTACCAATTCCAATTAAGCCAGTAACAAAAGTAATAGAATCGGTGGTTTCTGAACCTCAAGACGATGCAGATGATGAATTAGAGGAGGGTGAGCTTAGGGAGGAAGAAGACGATAATATGATGATAGATTAGATAGGAAACGGGAAATATAAAATGTAAATGATAAATATTGTTAGAATATTCCAGATTTTTGAGAGGGTCGATTTGTACAAAGTTTTTTTTTTCTTTTATAATTTTTTTCTTTTTTTTAAAAAAAAAGTAGTATATAGTAATATATTTTTCTTGCAGAATATTTTCATTTTCATTATTTTAAATCATGTATAAGAATGTTAATCATAGTTATAAATCATATGAATAATTTTTATGAATATTTATTGTTATTATTGTATTACTATATTACTTTTTACAAATAGCATTTGTTAAATCTTTACTTTTTACTTATTTTTCACTTGTAGTGATATGAACACAATTTTTTTTGAAATAATTGTAATATAATCAATTTTAACATAGGCAAAGAAATCTCATATAACAATGTTTAATAATACAATTCATTTTTTTTCATCTAAAACTACGTAAACGGTTTCATTATCACAATGCGAATGGTGGTTGTTAAGTGATTACATATGTAAGGATTTTTTATAGGTTTTTTTAGAAATTTCGAACAAATTCTGAAATTATTTTAATACGTACAATTTACAAGGGTACATTTTTCAAATCAAAGACAAGATTTTTATATTTGTTTTAATCTGTAGCTTTTATTTCTCTCTTTTTGATAAATTCGGTTTATGGGATTTTAATTGATCCATTGTTGTTAAAGTTGGTAAAGCTTGGCTATTTAAAGAATTAACTACGTACTCATAAATAGAATAAATCGAAAAAATGACGTTGTTACATTAATATTTGAGTTAATATGTCTCTCACAAAAATTGACTAGCGATTATTATATTAGTTAATATGTCTCTCACAAAAATTGACTAGTGATTATTATGTTAGTTAATATGTCTCACACAAAAAATTGACTAGCGATTATTATGTTAGTTCAAAAGAAAAGTGTACCGAAAGTAAAAATTTTCAAATAGTAATTTAGTATATGTTAGCTACTTATCTATTATGATTTGATTTGATTAGTTTGATGATCACCCTATAATGTTTAGTTATTTAAACACGGTTTTTACATGTTTAGTTAATGTTAAAAAAATAATTACAGTCCTCACCTTAGCATTAAAAAAAAATAACTTTGATACGTAGATCAGATTAAGGTTAACCTATTTTTTGCATGTTTCTTTTTAACGCTATTTAACGCTATTTCTGTATTTAACACTAACACTAGATTGGACACTAAGACTGGCGCTAAACTGGCGCTAAACTGGCACTAGACTGGGAACGGGATCTGTAGATTTGTGATTTATGGCGTTTATAAGGAATATGCGTTTAAAAAAAGTTATTAATAATATTGCATCAAATCACAAAATCCACATGTCCCAAGCATTAGAGCTAGTCTCGTCTAATCCAATAATGAATCTAATAATGATGAGTAAACTATATAATAATGTTTACAAATCGGAAGTTTTTTTTTTTAGGCAAGATATTTATCACATGATATAAATTCCCGCATTAAAAGAAATTCTGAAGATGGAAATTTCATAAAAGAAAAGAAAAGTACGGACTATTAAATGTTAATAATACTATAAAGTTTTTAAGTAACCAAATGATAAAGAAATGATACCATATTTACCTAGATTCTTCAAAGATTTGTTAAAGGGACTTTTTATAATCTATCTAAAGTTAGAATTCTATGAATAAATGTATTATATATAATAAATAATATATATAATATAATAATATATAAAATATACGTATAATAATAATATCTATATAATCATATATTCACATATATATATATAATAATATGCTGATCAATACCATAACCATCATTTAAAAACTTTTTTAGAATGTGAATAAGTGTGAATGATATAACAAATAGTATATACTTGTATTACCGATAAATGAATTCATCGAATTTCTTAATATTCCAAGAAAAAAAAAGAATACTCCCCAAGGGTTAATGTTGATAAAGCACATGCGAACGCAGATTTTCAAAGTTGGGAGTTGATTAACGTTAATAATAACGATAATAATTTAATCATTAATTAAATGATTATTAATAATGAAGTCACAATACTGATACCTTACTGATACCTTACTGATACCTAATATCACAACACAACACAACAAAATTCGAAATTCTAAAATAATGATGATTAATACAGATCGTTTCACAATCAATACATGATGAGGTAATTGATATGAGTGAAAAAAAAGGGATAGATAGATGTTTACGCAATGAGTGACCAAAAAAACTCTTAGAAAAGAAAAAATGAACTCTAATAATGGATTAATAGTTAAAACTTTGTAATATTTAATCTCTATATCGATATCGATATCTGATATATAAATATATATATATAAATATGTATATAAATATGTATATATATATGTATGTGAATATGTATATATATATATGTATATATATGTTTTTTTTTTAAAAAAAAACTAAACTATAAATGCATACTTTTCATTTTTTTAATAATCTCTTATTTTTTTTTTTTTTTTACTAAAGTTTTCATGTATGTATTACTCAGTCTACGCAGCATACGTAGAAGGTAGGGCAAAATCGGAAATATTTTCTAATAATCGACTTTGTACATAATAAATGATCGGGGGCTGGGTTTGTTTCAATATCGATATAAATGTGTATTTTTTTTTGTACAAACTAAAATTACTGTAAATATGGTAATTGCAGTGCCCCATTCCTTCTCGGATCCACTTTAGGGAAAAATTTCATGTAAACCATTTCGGAAAAGTCCTAAGTAAGCCTCCTTCTAAAGAGTACCCAATGTAAATTTAAGGAGACTATCTCCCTTGTGCATCTTTTTGCAAATTTCAATAAAAGCCCACCTTTAACGGCTTTGTAGACCTCGAAT